AGAATAGCTACAAGTTCTCCAGAGTCCACGTCTTTCTCATTAACTGGCACCAAAAGTCTATGTAACATTTGTAGGAGAAAGAAGTTGCTTTACTTACAGTTGCTTGACTTGTATATACAGTTGTGCCTCGCAAGACGAACGCCTCGCCTGACAAAAAACTCGCAAGATGAATGTTTTTTGCGATCGTGTTGGTGACTCGCAAGACGGCTTCTTCTATGGCCGTGCTTCGCAAGCCTTTTTTTTTTTTTTTTTTTTTTTTTTAAACCGATCCCTCGCACAAAAATAATTCATTCGTCTTGCGAGGATCATTGCAATGCATTCCTACGGGAAACTGCTTTTCGCAAGACGAAAATTTCGCAAGACGGTGCTACTCGCGGAACGAATTACTTTTGTCTTGCGAGGCACTACTGTACTGCTTTCTTTACTGCACACGTATTAGCAAGCAACCAAACAAAAAACTGCCTCCAAATGACAAAGAGAGGGGTAGAATACTCAGTAGAAAGGCAGGACTTTCTCAAAAGCTGGAAGGAGCTATTGGTTACTGCTGGATCGATAATCGCCCCAGTCCAGAAAAGTCCCTTCCAGTCACTCAAACTACAGATAGCATATGAGAATGTAAATAAAGCTCCCCAACAGTCTGCCAGTGGCCCTGCATTGAACTATTCCAGAACGCCTGAATCTTGCTTCTTGAACATTATAGAATCAGAGGTGGAGAGTATTTGATCTGCCAGATGTTCTGGCCTGTGTCTCTCTCCCACCCCACATATTCCATGGCAAGAAACTGGGGGGAGTTGTGTTCAGACAACACGCGGAGTCCCACGTGTGTCCCATCTCTGTGTTAAATAGTCTGGTGTGTGGGGGAGGCAGAGGACCAACAGACGCTTTGAAGAGGAGTTCCCCGCACCCTCATGACAAAGCCCTCGTGTTGTGTTCTCTCCTCAGGAAGGCCCGGACAGCTGTGGTGTTTGGCAGGAAAGCCTCTGAATCTGGTTTCCCCACTTTGGAGCCGGAGGTTCTGGTGAGAGCTGGTGGATTGTTAGCAGGCAAAGGGCAGAGTGGCTTCTGAAACTTGTATTAGAACTGCTGAATAGTGCAGAGGTTCAGCTCTGCGAAGCTGAAGATGGGGAGTTCAAATCCCCACTGGGTCTCCCTCAGCATCTCCCTCTTCAGTCAAAGTTCCGTGTCCTGTTTCTGTTTTTCTCCTCAGCGAGACGTCCGGGAAGCCTGTCAGCTCCGCTTCCAGTTTCTCAAGACCCTCTTCGAGCACAGCGTATCTGGGAACTTTCTGTAAGAACTCTGTCAGCGTTTCTTAGCGCAAATCGCGG